TAGGGTTATTTGCAGGATGATTTCTATACTTACCAATTACTATGGTTGTTTACAAGATTATGTTTCAAGACAAATTTAAGATGCTGTTTAGTTATACTTTGCAAGGTAATTCTACTTGATATTATCCAGTTCTTACTATAAACTTTAAATAACCTGGTCTATTGTATTATGACAGGCACAGCCAACACCATATTTGGTAGCATGGTGTATGATTTTAGAGGGGAGAGAAACCTATCTTCACACCCTACCTTCAAGCAGTTAATGAAAAAGCCAACCCCACTTGCTCAGTGACACGAAATTCCACAAGGAAACTGTCAAGTGTAGGCTTATGTGTTTTTTCATTTTATTTTTGAAAAAACACGTGACACTCATGACTCAAGCCTCTTAGCCACCAGGACCTCGGTATGAATGAGTTTGTTGCATCCTGACTAGCGTGGAAGTATCCTAGGTATAAGAAGATATATAGAGAGAAATCGCAATGGATAAGAAGAAGTAAAATAAATAAATAAAATTGCCATGGAAAAATTTTGTAACATTTATCTTTCTCCGTTTGGGGAAAAAAGTCTTATTCTTTTTATTGTCTTACCATTATTTTCTTAGCTATGCAAATAATACTTTTGAAAAACTAAATGGTTCTACAGTAGAAATAAATATTAATAAAATCATAAGACTTGTATAGCTGTTGCAATAAAACTGCGGAGGAAAATCTGAGACCCTAACAAAATATAATTTTTATTATTACATTTAAAGTGTTGACAAAAATATGTTGTGTATGAATCTTTTTTTGTACCCTATGTTCTGTTGGTATGTATGTTTTCCTTGGCCATAGGCATTTTGAAGTAGAGAATATTGGTTTATAAACTACAAAGCATTCTGACTGTTCACTAATGTTCGGTCAACCCCACTTTAAAAAATGCTGTTAGAGCCCTGCTGGCATGGTATGGCATGGCTTGGTTGAGCATCGACCTATGAACCAGGAGGTCATGGTTTCATTCCAGTCAGGGCATATGCCTGGGTTGCAGGCTCCATACCCAATAGGGGGTGGGTAGGAGTCAGCCGATCAATGTTTCCCTCTCATCATTGATGTTTCTATCTCTCTTTCCATCTTCCTTCCTCTCTGAAATCAATGAAAAATATTTTTAAGTGCTATTACAATCATAATATCATGTACTTTCAAATATTAGAAGTAATAATTTCTTATTAACTTTGTTACCAGAGGAACCATTCATTCCACCAATCATTTTCTTCCAATTTTTATGAAATAAACACATAGTAGAAAGATACCAAAGAAATGACCAGGTGAAATACATACTGGCACAAACAAGTTCATTTTAACAGTTGGCATGAATCAATTGCCCATGACAATATAATATTACAATATAATATGAATATGTACAAAAAATTATTTGAGACTAGTAACAAAGCAATGCTTAGCATTAAAACCAGGCATCATCTACATTATATAATTTCTTCAAATTCTTTGCACCTTTAGTCTATCTAAAAGTCAATAATTAACAATAAAATTGAAAGTAAAGGACGTTTCTTTAAAATATTTCAATATTTTCAACAATTCAAGAAACAATTTAGGCATAAGTTCAGCAGTCATGAAAATGGGATTTTCTTTTCATAGCAATGATAATGTTGGTGATATTAGTATTCTAGCATTCATTTTGTAATATTGTATTCCCCCAATTTGTCCATGCTTCTTTTTTTTGTTTTAACAGATAGCTGACAATGACTAGAAGAATTGATTCTTTCTGAGACACATCAAATCACTTTCCATAAAACCCATATCTTGCTGTTCACTTGTGAATAAGGTATAGTAAAGAGAACATGTTAGCACATTTGCTTAGCTCTTAGATGGAGCAGACATCAGCCCACTCACATTCAGTTTGAAGGGAAACTCCAGACAGAGTGTGGCAGGTGTGTTTGAGTGGATAAGCCAGTGGAGGGTGAGGATGCAACTGTCACCGGCTAGGAGAAGGTAGATTAGGGTGAGAGCACAGTAAGCATGTTCTCCTTAGATAAGATGTTCATGTGAATTATCCATAAGAAGAAAACTAAGGGGAGACTTTTTTTTAAATGCTGCATATGACAATATTTTTAATTTCTACCCCTGGTAGATAGCAAAAGGCAAGAAAGGGGAGGACCTGATCTAGAAAATCAGTTTCTTAAAAAAAGAAAAGCACTTGTTTATTGATAACTGGGAAAATAATCTGTTTCATAATGTGTTTTCTTGTACTTTGATCTGTTTGTATTGATATTTAAGCGTCTGCTTTATGATCTCTTCCTAATGACAGAACCAGAGTTCTTGGAACCCGGGAGTTTGAAAGGAGCAGGTGCCGAACCTTTACTTTTTCCCTGAACAAGAAAAATGGGCTGCGATCGGAACTGTGGGCTCATTACTGGCGCTGTCATTGGCGCAGTGCTGGCTGTGTTTGGCGGTATTCTAATGCCAGTCGGAGACTTACTTATTAAGAAGACAATTAAAAAGGTACAAGTAGTCAAAAGGATATTTTTTGTCAGCCTGATTCATTCTATCTTCTGTCCCTTGCTTTGGGTACCTGTTTTATATGTTATGGTAACTGGTAACTTCGTGTCCTCGGGACAGAAGTGATTATGGGCTACCACAACTGTACACAATAGAGAAATGTTAAAAGTATATTTACTATAAGTGAATTGCTACCTTAGGTACAAATATTCAAATTCTGATAAAAGCTGTTCATAGGTACACAGGTAAGTTGAAATAATTGTTTATGTCTAAAAAAAGTATGCTTTTGAATAAAAAATAGGTAGGTGTATAAAAATATCTTGGTTAAAACTGAGAAAAGTAAATGTGTATGTTTAATATATAATATAGAACATGTATAATATTAATATATAAACACATATACATAGTCATTTAAACATAATTATGTTTAATAATGGATCAGAAATTTTTGGTAAAACAACTATTTTTTATTTGGTAAACTACTGTGTTTGTTTTTTTTTTACAATATGTGTACTACTGTAAAAAATATATGGTTGTCATAAATATTTCCTATTTATAAAGCTTTATGTTTTAGAAAATGCTTTCAGAAATGTTATATAGGACATATGCCAGTGTATATGCAACAGCAGAGTAGCTGTAACCTAGTTAGAGTAATTCAATAGATAGGTTTGCACAAAAAACTAGAATTAATTTCCCACCCTCGTTCCTTAGCTTCACATGCACCATCTTCAACTGATAGAGAGAGAAAGACTAGGATAAGGACATACTGACCTGCTGGAGTCCTAAACCCAGGATGGCAAATTCAAATGGTTTCAGAAGTTTGGAGGCAGAGTAAAAAAAAAAAAGAGAGAGAGAAAAAGTGAAGCTGTGAAGAACAAGAGAAAATGAAGAACAGGAACTATTGTGAATGTGAGAATGTGTGCCCTACCTGAATACATGTATGTTTCTTTTTTCAAAACATAATTCTGGCCAAAGAAAACATGTCTGAGTACTGGCCTCAGTTCTCAGCCTGATTAGATGTCAATGGCCTAGACAGAGGGTTAATAAGTACAGTGCACAACTGAGAACAATAAGAATTAAATCATAAAATGGGCTATACCTACGGATTCATACTGAAATTTCTGTTACTGCCAAGGCCTTTGTCTTCCTCATCCATTTATCTATATTTGACATCTTCCTCTTTCGAGGAATATAAATAAATTCCATTTCATTTCACAGAAGCATTGACTTAATTGACTAATACGAAGAATTCATTTTAAATCTATTTCTGATTACGACGATTACTATTTTCTTTTCCTTTCTTTAGCTAACAATTATAAAGCTAAAATAAATAACCTCACTGTTCTATTACAACTGCTGTCTTATGGAAAAATAGGACTTATTTTTAGGTTATAGTTCCTGTACTTGCATGCTATATTTGCTCCATACTAATATTGAGGTTTGTGGCTTTCCTATTGCTAACAGATCATAAATCATCAGCCCTGAGAATTTAATTAAAATATTATAAATTGAATGCCATCCACTTCTTTGGAATTCCCAATTTTATTGATATTACTTTTGATGTGGTTTGATAGAGACAGATAGGTCTCAGTGAGATGAAGCTTATGTGACTGTGTGAGATGGGATCGCCATTGCTTCATATCCTTCCTGCTCTGTCATCTGCACCCCCACCTGGATTTTTGTGGGGAAAGAACAGATGCAGCATGTGTGCTAACACAGGGACTACATCTTACCTTTTGGAAAAGTTTCCAGAATAGAAATTTCACAATAATGTCCCACTGCAGAGCATTTTAGACCAAGACTATTTTTTCTAATACATAATTGGCAATCAGTCGCCGATTATTGATCATCATTTATTTCATTTATTCAGTAATAGTAGTACATATAGAACCTTTGTTAGGTGGCATGCAAACTACTTGCATCTATTTTAATTGTTCAGTATTTATCTCATGTTCATAATAGCTAACCCTGAGGAAATAAGAATTTTGAGAATCAAAAATTTGCTTTTGTATAGAGACTAAGAAAGAATAAAATAAAATTTATCTAAACAAATTTATAACTTAACTGGGAGAAAGCATATTGTAAACAAAATAGAGAGAGACCTATGCAACTCATAAATGAATTTTAAGGTGTATAACATAGAAAAAAATAAATGCTATTTAGAAAGAGAGCTCTCAGCATATTCAAAAACTTCAGGAAGAAAGTGAAATTTGAGTTGGATTTTGTAGTACCATAGAATTATAGTTCAAAGGAGGCTGCAATAAAGGCATGAAAGGGCTGATAAATGCTATGGAAAAAGTTGTGAGAGTGCAATTAAATGTTGTAAAGAAGAAATAAGGAAAATAGAGGATGTGCCAAAAATATGGGATTAACAAGAGATGATTAGAACATGGGGTAAGATTTAGGAAGTTTTGAACATGAGCAGAAGAATAATTAATGATGTTCGTCAATAGTCATTGGTGTATGTTTTATGATAGGTGTGCAGTTAGAAGTTGATATCAAATGGCTAGCATTTATTTAGTGCTACTGAGAGCTTCACATATACTCATTTATTTAATGTTTACAAATATCCATGAGAAGGTACTATTATTTTACCCATTTTACAATTACAAGATCTTAAAAAAACACTTGCCAACTCACCTAGCCAAAAGGAGGAGGAGGATTCAGTTTCCAAAACTAGCCAATCAATCTCAAGGCAGACAGTAGATGATACAAGTCTTGTGCTCTAGCTATGGTAGACAGCGTTGGAAAGTAAAAAGACAAAAAAAAAAAGAAAAAACCAACACAGCTAAACAGGGAAAAACCTTTCAAGGAGAATTTATGATGACTCTCTTTTAGAAAGGTCTTTGCACAATCTGTAACAAAAGTCATTGTTCTGGTGTGATAGTCCATAGGAAAAACTGACGGGACATGAGAGGCAGTGGCAGTTTGGACGGAGGGACTAAGTTAGGAGAGGGAGTAGAACAAACTACATATCTAGTCTCGTGACTAAGAGAAATGTGTACCTTAGAAGAATACAACACAGAGGTTTTATTATCAATGGTCTGATATGAACACCGGTGCAGATTTCAAATGTCAGAGTTCAGGTGGATTTTATTATAACTACACAGATAAAACTAAACTGGATTTGCTTTCCGGAGAATCTGAATGTAGAGACAAAGGGGCAGAGAGAATACTCTATGACTTGTGCATAATTCAGAGGTAGGAAGACAAAACAGAAAATGGAAAGAAATGATTTTAAATGAAGAAATAAAAACAAAAGATTGTAATTTGGGGGCAGTTAATAGGAAGCCAACACTCAAGGAAAGAGAATAAAATGTTCTCAGGCAGACGAAAATCAAGGAAATAATGGTTAAAACATGGTCAATATAATTTTGAAAGTATAATTTCAGTAGGATAGGGTAATAAAGGGGGCATGAAATAAAGAAATAGAGTTTTTTCTCTTCTTGTTTTGAAATGAGGGTGTACTGTGCAATCTTTTACAAGACAAAAGGTATGAATCTAGACTCTAGAAGAAGGAAGAGGTACAAAACTGAAATTTAAGAGAAGAATGAGTTCCCCAAACCTATTAAACGATGGTTTACATTGTATCCCAGTTACATATCCATCAACTAAGACAATATCAGAATCCCTTCAATAGTTAGAGTCTTTGGTACATTTGTTACTGAGTCTGATTTTTGTCTCACGTTTCTATATAATCATGTTGAATTGACAATTTTGGTCACATTCAGATGCTGGAACTTTTTCTTTGTTTAAATAAGGCTTCATTTTTTTCCCCTTTAGTTTACAAAACTATTTTTTAAACAAGACTGGCATATGTATCTGTTTAGCATATAGTAAGAGTCAAATGGCTGAATTATATACAAACTCAGGAGTCAATTGTCTTGCCCCTGCCTCAGGAGCACTTAGGATATTGCTGTTATATTAGAAATATGTACAAGATTTTGTACTGGCCACTTTGTGTTTACCATTGAAACTTATTGAAAATGATTTTCTTTATTTAATTGACTAATAGCAAATTGATAAAGTTATTATTGGTACACCAGCATTATAAAAAAAAGAATTAAAGTATTTAGTTGGAAAATATTAGGAAATCATCTTGAATTGTTGTTATTTATAAAATATAGGGTTGGAATCTCTGATACCATCCAGTTCTAAAAACTGACACCCTGACACTAGTATTTGAAATGATCTAAACTAGCTCAGAAATTTTCTTCCATATATGAAATTTACTCTTTATTTCCAAGGGATGTTTTTTAGGGACTTCATGCTTTTTTAATGGATCAGAGTGGAAAACTTTCTTACCAATTTTTTATACTGTGATTTCTAATGGATTTGTGTTGAGTCAGCAAGTTTATGTAATCGTGCTAAGTAGATTAAAAGCCAACGGCTCAAGCTGCTACCAATGTGCAAGGCACTTTGGAAAAAGGTCAAAGTCCTGCCACCACTTACAAAAGATAATCTATCGCTCCACTTTGTTAACGCTACTTGATAAATGCTTAGTGAATATTGTGTAACATAAATAATTTTAAATACATTTTAATTTAATTTCCCTAGAATATTAACCATAGAACACCAAGAATGGAATTAAAGTTTTCCTTTTATTTGCCTATTAAAAAACAAATGTTCAGTTATATCATTACTTAATTATACCATCCTTTTTTCCTCCAATTCTTGAAAGAATGATCCTTTTAGTAGCTTAAAATAAATGCTTTCAGAAAAAGTAAATTGAAAGAATAATTATCTCTGTTCACTAAAATGACTAGGTTTTTTAATCAATAGACCACATTTTAATAATATACATTAATTTATATTTATATTAATTTCACATATATGCTTATAGTATTTCTACATATAACAAAATAGTTCATACATTTTCTAGCATTTAAAATTTAAAAATGAATGTCTGAAGTATTAGTTGTTAAATAATGTAGGATTTTTAAAAATTTAGTGACAATATCTGAGTACATGAAATAATTTAGAACAAATTTTAAATTAATATA